AAGTTTCGTCGGAACGAAGTTACGGAAAATTAATTAACAAACGGAGACGTAACAATAACATTTTTTTATCTAACACTTGCAAAATCAATTACCCAAATATTAGCTATTCTTGCAAGAGGACCATTGGGAGTAACGTCTGTAGCTATGATATAGTGTTAGATAACATAACCACTGAAAAGTTACCCAACATTTTACCCTCTAAATGTTAGTGTTATTCATCCCCTTATGTTCATTCTCTCTTTCATCATGTGCTCATTGATAACCTTAATATCGTGTCTAATGAAAATTTACGACTACTAATGAGTAAAGTTCCAACATTCTAAGAATGCTCAAAAATTAATTGGAAACGTACCAAAAACGTAATTAATACACCACTAAGTAAATTTTCATAAATAGAGTACAAAGATAATTTAAAAGTAATCCGATTTAGAAACTATGTAAATATAGTTAAAGAAGTAATCAATAAACGCATAACATACTTCAAGAAATTAAATAGTAGCAACAATGAGCATGGCATAAGTAAAAAAGAAGTTATTGAGCATTTAGGTTATTTACATGGTTGCTGTATCCTAGATAGAGTCACTGCTACAGGGTTGTTCATTCTGACAACTTAATCGAAGATACTTCCTCATATTTTTGTTGTTACCAGATGTCCAGTTTCAGTTAAAGACAATATAATTTTTTATTTTTCATTGATGTCGCATGGACTAGCTAAGAAGTCCTCCAGAAACGTAATAACCGCAAAATTTTCTTATTTGTCTGCTGCCATGCTATAGCATACTTTACAGTCCAATAATCGCAGCTTATATCGGTGTATGTAACTAATGTTTTGTTGCCACCATGTTCAAAGACTTAAATTCTGCTATTCTCTAGCGGTTAAAGCACCAGCAAAACTTTGCTACAACGGTCTCTCATTTGCGGAGTTGATCGGGTTCAAGGAATTATATGGCAAATAGTGTCATACCATCCAAGCTAAGTAACAAATGTTGCATAATTTGATTCTAACTCCAAGAAATCTAAGCGGTTATATGTCAAAATCACTTAAGAAAGTGGTATAAATTTTCCCTTCACTAAGCCCCTGCAAGATGGCAGCGAGATTATTATCATCTTCATAATTTCTGCCAATTATAGAAAGACAAACCAACCATCATTTATGTCATGTGGCATGAATGGCCATGGAACTGGTATTAATACAGACATCAAACTCCTTTTCGTAGCCCCCCAGTGGCACAGCGGTATGTCTACGGACTTACAACGCTAGAAACCGGGTTTCGATACCCGTGGTGGGCAGAGCACAGATAGCCCTTGTGTAGCTTTGTGCATAATTAAAAAAACAAACAAAACAAACCTTTTCGTCTTCACTCAAGCAACCTGTCATCATGATAAGAATGTCAATCATTGCTCAAGGCTGCTCAAACACAAGGCTCGTGTTATCACATAATGTCAACACTTTCGTCACGAGAGAAACCCTGGTTGTTTCAAGGCATAATGATAACCACGTGACCAGGGGGTAATTAGGATTAAGTTGGCAAACATCATCTGCCCACTGCAGATCAACTGTTGTCAACCTATGCAACCACCCCATTGCATCCCAACATAGTCATGGTTGGTAGCTTATTCTTGACAACTTTACACCAATATTATAGGTCTTGACTCATATGCGCAAGAATGATCAAATGTATCAATACTTCTGAATGGACAAGGTATGGTTTAGTTGTCTTAGTAGACAGAATCAGTGAAGCCCTGAAAAGCTTATAAATTGCTGAGAAGTACTCTGTACTCAACAAAAAACTTCTCCAGAACAACTGAGGAATCTCAGACCAGTTTGATTCTCGTTTTCTCTGCTATAAATTCTAGAATATCATAAGTCACACAAGGTGCACAAGAGAAAAATAGCTTGGTGGAATGAAGAAACAAATAAACTAACACTTCTACAACAAACAGATCTTATTCAACAGCGCCATAATTTTGTCTTCATTGAAGTTACGTGTGATATTACAAGAATGAGGCAAGAACAAGGACACTTGATCTTTGCAACAAATAGTGGTTTTCTGTTATAATATTTGGAAGACAAATGTTGTGATTTGTTGCAGGTTAAATGAGAGAAACAAGACATGGTGTGAAATTGAAACAGAAATAAACCATTTATCAACAAACATATGGGAGGTTACTTGAAGCAAAGGTCATTCACGAGGTAAGAGACTATTGCTTCGTGATTAAAATTAAATCGTAAAAAAAACAAATTTAAATTTTTAAAAAGTGAATGAAACACACTGTGTTTAAATAAAACAAACTTTACTTTGTAATAAACTAAAATTAGTTAACCAGCGAAATGTGCATATATGAGCAGTAGGTTAAACATTAATAGGAACAAAACTTCAGCAGCAGGTCTTCGTTCTCTCAAGACAAATAAAAATGTCAAAAATTGCTCTTACAATTCAAATTGTTTCTGTGGCTGTTCATTGGAACACAACTGTTCAGAGTATATTTTCTTTTTGTGACAGTCGTACTACCATATATATATATAAGAGGCTAATGTCCGTTTGTTCGCAAAACTCCTCCCAAAGTTTAACTCCGATTTGGATGAAACTTCGCCGACTTTTTAACAACACAAGGGGAAGTTCCTAACAAAGTTTCATTTCATCTGGGTCTCTTATAAAAAAAAGTATATTTAATGCATGTGTCCACTTTTTTTTTAAGAAATAAGTTAATAAAATAGACCCTCGCTAAATTGAAAAAATAATATGACCTAATTTTATATTTTTCCCTAAATCGCTTCCTTAATGGATAGATAATACTTCTCTCCTTTTTAATAATGTACATTAATTTTGCACATTTATAATAATTAATTAATTTTTAATAACATACTCACACCAAACATTCTCGCCCTTTCAGTTGTGGGGGCATTATAAAGTCACGGTCAATCCCACTATTCGTTGGTAAAAGAGTAGCCCGAGAGTTGGCGGTGGGTGGTGATGACTAACTGCCTTCCCTCTAGTCTTACATTGCTAAATTAGGGACGGCTAGCGCAGATAGCCCTCGTGTAGCTTTGCGCAAAATCCATAACAAACAAATAAATTATAACATAAGTTTTCAAAAATTATGGTTAAAATAAAGGATGTTCGTTTTTAATCCAGAAGTCGAACAGAGGGCGATACCAATCATGCGCATTGATAGGAATTCATATATTAAAATAATGTTAGAAGAGAATTCGATGTGGTTACGTGTCACAATAGAGGAAATGGTTGAAACATGTCATCAGTGGATAATGTCATTTATTTCGCAGGACTTTAAAAATTACAAGTTCGTAACAAATTTAGGTGTTGGATTTGTTTTAGTCAGCTTGTTGGTAGTTCTTGCGGCTGTAGTATTGTCATGGGCACCATTGGCCCAACTAAGTAGTACAAGTAGTAGTCGTACTAGTACTAGTGAAGAAAGTGAACGTAGTGACGGGAAGTCCCACTTAAATCAAGATGCAAGTAGCTTTGGGTTACTGTCGTGGAGAAAAAATTGGGGAATTGGGCTTGGAAAGAAAACATCAGGCAAGACAGCACTTTTATCGGAAAGTCAAAAAGATCTCCAACTTGCACCTGTTTTATATGACAACACACAAAATGTTGCCATTGTTGGTGAAAGGAGGTTCTTGAATTTTCTTCCAGAAACAAATGAAATAACGGTTATTGATGATGTGTCTAGTTCACTTGACGAGATAAAAGAATTTGTTCAAATATATCCAAAAAAGAAAGAAACGTTTGAAGCTGTAAAAAATGGTATGGTATTGTTTGAATTATGTAAATATCTACAGAGTAAATTCGAATAATTTAACAAGTGGTTAACTTAAAAGTTAAATATCTTGTCTGTTAACAGACATTCAAGCCTAATTGAATGGATTAGCATGAATTAGGCATTAGTCCTTAACAATTACTAAATTTAGGAAGAATTCAGGTCACCATATGGTATATTTTCCTATACTTTTCATCATTTACTACCAAAAGTTTTTTGAAAGAAAACTTTCAAAATGTAGAAAGCATAGCAGCATGTTTATTTTTTTTCACATACACTTTCATAAATCTTGTGTATTAAAAGTGTCAAGAAATGTTTTTGTCTTTTTTACCATTTTCAGCTGCTTAATTAAAGTTAAGAATGTTCAAAAAACATTTTTAATTTAAACCACTTGAAAGAAGTAAAAAAGATGGTAATTAGCCAATATAAGAGAGAGAATTTTGTTTGAAATGTGTTCAGAAGTTTTAGATTAGAAATTTAATAGCAAATGACATTAAACAAAAAAAAATAGAATTAAACATTTATTTATTTCCCCAGAACCTGAAGCTCTTATATCCCTGAATATGGCTATTCGTATGAAAGATGCTGGAAAAAATGAGAAAGCACTGAAATTATTTCAGCATGCTATGGCTCTGAACCCTTTACATCCAGACATCCTTAATCACTATGGAGAATTCATTGAAGAACAAAATAAAGATTTTATTAAGGCTGACCACCTTTACACAAGAGCACTTATCTTTTGTCCTGATCACTCTAAAGCCATTGTTAACAGGGGTCGTACACTTCCAATGGTTGAAGAACTTGACCAGAAACAACTGAATAGGATTGATAGAAAACGAGATCATCTTTTTCAGGTTCCAGATTATGATCCATCCCTGAAACGAATGAAGAAAGAAGCATACTTTCAACATATTCACCACACTGTTGCTATTGAGGGAAACACAATGACTTTAGCTGAAACACGTATGGTAGTAGAAACTAGAATGGCTGTTCCTGGAAAAAGTATCATGGAGCATAATGAAATCATTGGTTTGGAATCTGCTTTGAAATATATAAATAACACCCTAGTTACCAAATATGGACCCATTACCATTGATGATATATTAGAGATTCACAAGAGAGTTTTAGGCCATGTAGATCCTGTTGAAGCAGGAACTATAAGAAGATCTCAGGTATATGTTGGTGACCACATTCCACCTCCACCTTCTGAATTGTTTGATCTCATGGAAGATCTGATTGAGTGGCTTAACTCTGATGAAGGTCTGAAACTTCATCCAGTAAAGTTTGCAGCTTTGGCACACTATAAATTTGTCTTTATTCATCCATTTATGGATGGAAATGGCAGAACTGGTCGGTTGCTTATGAATTTAATTCTGATGAGAGCAGGCTATCCCCCTGTGATTATAAGAAAGCAAGACCGTTCTCTTTACTATCAGTATCTCCAGTTTGCTAATGAAGGAGATGTTAGACCTTTTATTAGATTTATTGGGGATTGTACTGAAAGGACGTTGGATGTATATCTTTTTGCAACTGAGTACGGTATGTCTGGCTTTAGAGCTTTAGAAGGCCATGGAGGCGAAATTAAATCTGATGTTATTGAAGTTTAAAGAAACTTGTTTAGGAACTTTGTACATGTACAAAATTGAATGAGAAGTGTTTTAGATTAATAGTTTGTTTTTATGTATTAGTAAAAAAATCTAATATGAATGCCAAAATTGTATTTATTTAAACTATTACCATACAAGATAACATATTACTTATAAAATACAATCTTATATATAAATTTTTGTCATACATAGATATTTAATTATTTAGGCTCCTTAACATATTTAAAAAGAGTGATCATATCCTAAACTCTTTTTATTTTTAATAGCATAGTTTTGTTCAATAGTTTATTTATAAATGTATATATTTTAGTATGCACTTTTTGGCATTTTTTCCTTTTTTTTTTCTCTATTATTAGTGAACATTAAAAAATAAACAGCTTGTAGCACAGATTTGAATTCTGTTGCTTATAAATTGTAAGCACTAGTGTATTACAATTAAACATATTGTACTTGTACACTGTAGGTCACAAAAGAAGTAATTCACCCCCGAGATTAAAAAACTGTTTCATTGTAGAATATTCTGTTTACTGGGGGTCATCAAAGTATAGATTTGATTTGATTTTGTGAGAAAAACATCTTTATCTACAACTATGTTAACTATTGTTGTGGTTGTTAGGAATCCTCTGCCCCACTATAAAAACCACCTTGGGTCTTATGTGTACATGTAAACATCATTATTGTACATAGAATTCAATAGTTATAAACATAAATAAACAGCAAAATGTAAAGAAGTATATTTACAAACATTTTGTCATTTAATTTCTTACAAACATGATGTAACAGTAATGTGATTTACCACACAGAAAGAAGCTTAATTTTCCAGTTAAAGTAAAAACTCACAATTGTATGGAAACAAATTAAACATAATTTCAGAGTACTATATATATTCGTGTTGAGTAAATTTAGAAATACAAAATGACCAGGTTTTTGTGTGTGTAAAAATTATCTGTTTTACAGGATTTCTGATTAATAAATATATACAACTTCCTGAAATATGAAAACTTGGTTAGTTATGGGATAATAATAATTCACTTGTATACATGTAGTAAATGTATAATAATACCTGTACACTAATATAGCTGAGAAATCTTTTTCACTGTTCTATCAGGGTTCTCTTGCATATTGGAAAACCTGAAAAATTTTAAAGCTAATTTCCACATCTAGAAAAACCATTGAACAGTGTAATTAAAATGTGGTTAATTGAGTAAAGTTAAAAGCTGAGACAATAGGATAGATATGAGAAGTGATGTAAACTATAAAGTGTTACGAAAAATGGCTGAAATGTTCTTGAAAATTAACTTGGGTTGGGAATACTGTCTATTAAAAATATTCAGCAGTGGATGGTATAGTATTGATTTTACTAATTATTAAAATCTTCAGATAAATACCAAAATAGTAACCTTCAGAACTGTGAACTGAGGTAACAGACTTTCATGAATCTTTTAATTTTTACACAATAAGAAAGTAATAGATGTTTTAGTTTCATGAATTGTTTACTGGTAAAGTTTATTAGTACAGTGCATTTGTTATGGAAATTTTTCAGTGTATAAAAAAAATGCTGAATGAACTAAAATTATTTTTATTTATGATATTTTTAAAAAGTCATTCAAATAGAAAGATAGTTATGGTAGTTAATGCAGAATGTTGGTTTTATTTTGCAAATGTGTTATATTCATGGTGATGTAAATATATACGTGTGTCTGTGCATGTGAGTTCATTGAAGAAATTTTACTTTGGCTTCACAATAACAATAGATAGAAATTTATAAATTTTGTACATAGCGAAATACTGAACTAGAAGTGACTTAGTTAGTAGTTTTTATGTATTAATAAAACAAAAAATATTGTATAAATGCCCAACTGTATTTATTTAAACTGTTACTGTACAGGATAATAACATTATTAATAAGCTGCATACACATGTAAAATCTTTATCATTTACTTATATTTAAATCTGTAGGTCCTTTACATTAAATTTGTAAATGTAATTTCATTGAAAATTATCTTAAATATGCTTAAGTACATCTATAGATATTTCTTTGTCTTTGTACTAAGGTATAAAGTACCTTCTATATGCCTGGATTTCTTTTGCTTTCATAATGAGGACTAGTATTTTAAGAACTTAGGAATGAAAAAGAAAGAAAATATGTAATATTCCAACCACACTATATCTGTTATATTCAGTACTGATGAGACCCAGTATTAAGGTTAATCATGCTGGTAGGGATACTACAGACATAGTAAAGATCGAGGTGCTATCTATATACATCATCATTTTTATGAACAGCAACTGTTATTTTTATTTTTAAGTTATTTACAAATCATAATTTGGATAAAGATTAATTTTAAAGAGAAGTGTAAATCTTAAAAAAATAATGCATATTGAAGTGCAGAGTGTAATGTACAGAAAGGTGAAAAAAAATCATTGTATTAATTTGTTCTGTATGAATCCTGCTGTTGAATACATACTGAAAAACTTGAAATGTAAGTGATTAGTTTACTTTTTTTTTCTTTTTTTTTAAAGAGCATTCACAGCTGTTGCTAGTTTCCTGTTGAGGTCTTGTACTTTGACTTGAATGTTTTCATAATAATCCCAGAATGTTTTATTTTTAATCCATTTTTCTGTCTATAATAAAAACAAAAAGCTTTGTTTTAGTTATTCTCTGTAAAACTTGTAGTTAAACACTGGCATTGCACAAAATGGATTATATCATTCTGATATTTTGTATTATAACTTTAAAAATGTTGATAATCACAGAATAGTTTTCCTTCTTTCCTTGTATATAATAAGAGACAAGTAGAAAGCCTTGTTTACATTTTCTTAGTAGAAATATTGTAAACAGCCAGCATTACTCCCATGATTGATACTTATACAAAGGAATTTTATATGTAATCATTATTGTTTTTAAAATTGATAATTTTGACAATTTAAATCATTACGTCTTTATCATAGCTAAATAGATTGATATGGTTACAACAAAACCTAGAAAAAACTGCTTTTTTCTCAAGGTTGTTTTAGTTTCATTTATCACTCACACTAGGATGTATTTAGGTATGATATAGGGGCAGTTATCAAATACTAAAAAAAAATTGCTAAGTTTGAAAAAACAAAATAGTACACATTTCTTTATAAATTTATAATATGTAATAGCTTCTGAAAAAACTGTTTATTATGTAAATGCATAATTAATATTGTTTTTTCATAGATGTTTTTGCCAGAATTTTGCAGGGGCTATTTTATAATAATCTAAATAATAACATACTAAACCAATAATACACAAATATTTATTTTCTTTACGTAAAGATGCACTATGGGGCTATTTGAACTATGCCCAACACAGGGATAAAACCAGAATAATTTTACAACTGATTCATCGGGAGGAAAACGAAGTCTTATAATAAATATCAAAGACACGGCAATACCAAAAACATCTTTATTTACAGACGTTTCAGAATTTCATTAATTAATTTCTATCATCAGCATAATATACACCTGGAAAAAAGTTAAGCACCCCCAAATATTTTTCAGGATTGCTTATTGAAAATAAAGTTAAATTTTAATGATGTTGAGCAATGTTTACAATTTAACACATAATTAAAAGGAGGTGCGCGTTCAGGA